AATAATTAGAATTAGGGTTTTAGTTGTATATAACTCAATTAATTATTTTCTCAAAAATAACTTAATTATGTTTTCAATTCGATTTTAGGGTTTTCAATTTCTCCTCGTATTTAATTCGCCACGCATTTAATCATTTCTTTTTCATTATTATTGTAACAGCCAATGGTTTGTAATAGTTAAATTAGGGTTTTATTTCTTGCTTTAATCCCCGATTCTTTGGTTATGTAATTAATCCCCATCTCTGAAGCCTTGTAATAGCTAGGTTTGTTTTTCGCATTTTTAATTCCTGCAACTATTTAACTGTCTAGATGTATGCTAATTGGATTGTATGGCAAGAATGTCTGGAAAATTAAAATGGTAGATCACCTAATGTGCAAAGATTAAATAACTGAAACAAATCATATGCACATATGCACTCCTAGGGTTTACCTCACTTCGGTTGCCTTAGGTAAACAATCATTAAGCATAGGAAATTTTAGTGGTTGCCCTCCAGTCTAAAAAGATCAAATTGTCCCATTCGAATGTTGCCTCGGAAATGTTGCCTCGGAAAGATCTTAAGACTCTAGGGTTATTACTAAAGTTTTCTAACTGTTGCTTTAGTGATTGAACTTGCCTTTTTCGAATGTCCCTTACAAACTCCAACGATGGGGCTACCTACTCCTTAATAGTAGGATAGTGCTGTCTAAAGGAAACGAGAACAAATAATATTTTTTCGAGTAGGTAGAATCTTAAGTACTTGCTCAATAAAAAATTTTCACACGAACATCTTTCAAAACAAATTTTCAAAACAAACTTCGTGACATCCTTGAGGACTGATACAAGGGTTATCACGAAGTAAAACATTTTCAAGACAAACACACACAAGCAATTTGAAAAATGAGCAAAGTACCTAAGAGCCCATGGAAAACCATGGATAGAAAGGGTGATAACACCTTCCATTTCTATAATCTACCCCCCGTACTCAGAAACATCTCAAAAAAGGTTTTTTCTGTTCTTTCTCCTTTTCCTTTGTTGGATGAAATAAAAGTCGGTGGCGACTCTTGCTTACTGTGACATTTTGTGAACAAAAAGCGCAAAACGCAAACCAGTATTAAACATTCGATTCTGCCACCCTATCACAACAAGCATACTTATTACATTAAGATTTTCATTCAAAAATAGACAAGTTTCTACATGCAAGCAATGTTTAAACAAACAGGCAAGAGTGCAAATGAAAATGCAGTAAAGAAACCAATGATTACCATTGTTGAGGAGACTTGACTCTGTATGGACTTCTTAATTCTAACGAATTTCTGCAGTCTTGATGATTGAATAGGCAAGAGAATTCTTCTCCTGATCTGATGTGAACACAACAGTCTCTGAATCGATCCTGTTTTGGACCTTGTCTCTAGATGACATACCATCTTCAATCGAATGGCCAGGTGCCTTAATAAGAGGATATGTTTATGGGAGGAGGTCCCCAAATATCAGAGCTGGAAATAACAGGATGTAATGCATTGGGCTTGTATTAGCATGATCATCAGGCTTCTTATATCTTTGCTTAGAAGCTTTTTTTCATGAATTCACTAGGGGAACAAAGAATGGCTGTTGTCGAATAGATCAGGGAACACAAGGTTGTAGAGAGTTCCCCTGATTAAAAAGTCTGATGCCCCGGTGTGGCAACCGCATCTGACGTTGGTCAACAAGAATGAATAACTGAAATAAGATCTCATAGTAAATGGGAACCATATGCTGATAAGATGTTCCAAGAACTCAGATTGTGTAGCACTCCATGGTTGAAAGTAATTCCCAAAAGATGGGGAGAAGAGAGAACTTGCTGAGGCAGTAAGTGCAAGATTGTTGACATCATCGTCAGAGCTTTCATGACTTGGCTCATATGAGTCTTCAATCAATTATCTTCCTTCTCGAAGAATTCTCGACCAAGGGCCAAAACTTGCATGTATACTACAATCAACCCCATCGTGATCTTAGTATCAGTCAATTCCCCACGGAGTTATCCCATACTGATTTTGAATATGTGACAGTAAAAATTTAAGTTTGAACCTTTGAGGAGAGCATCATGTCTAACTAAGTATCCCCAATCTTGAGTAGTTGTTATGGATGCATGAATATGCATGGGTTGCATGAATGGGTGACACGTCGTGTTCCATCATTTCCAAGGAATTTACATGCTTTGATTTTGATTTTACACAAGGCTTAAAAATATGATTCCTTGGAAATAATCGAACATGTATGTTAAGCATGTGGTTAACCATGTTATGTATGCAAAGACATGAGATCAAAGTTTCATCGTTTCTGAACATGACTACTGCACTAGTCTGAACCATTTGAATATTACCAGATCAAAGGCCCGACATAGCTTCTGCACATGCAAGAACCAAGTACCATGTAGATCATCAATAGTACAAAATCAAGGCTTTTGGAACTAGATATTGTTGAACCTACTCTGAACATGCTGAGAATACCAAGATCGAAGGCTCGAATGAACCTCCAAACATACAAGTCAGGAACTCAGAAAATAAATTTGAGAACCATATGGTCACCAATAGAATATACCATCTGAACATAGTCACCAACTGTACCTGTGATAATAATTCCCTCCCCACTCATGTGTGAAAACTAGGTCAAGGTAAAGTCGGGTAACTCAGAATCGAGGGTACTCCTGAAAAACTATCTCCATATCACCTACGTGAAAACAATAACCCCTCATTTGTACCTCATCTTAGCATGGACGACATGGCGGAAATAGTGAAACCTAAGTCAACTAGCCGCTCATGTTCCACTCTATTCCTAGGGTTCCTATGGTATACAACTCTGTCCTGGGTATTGGGCCTTTTACCTCATAGTAACATTCCAACCCTATCAAGAAGCAGATCTAGTACAACAATAGTATATGGTAAACAGTAAAATGCAATGCATACATATGCTCAGGTATACACAAAATGAATGAATAAACATAAAGCATAAAAATAAACACCCAAAGAAAGGAAACAAGAGCTGGGAGCAATTCCGGGATGGACCAGCATTTGGTCAACCTATCCCCAATGAATTCGACAGTTGAAACAACCGACTGAAAATCATCAAACCATGAGGTCGCCATCGAACGTCTTTTATCCCACGTGAAGGGAAAGGTCAACATCGAGAAAACCTGAGAAGGGAGAAGTTAAGGTCTTGTGACCGAGATATCGGGTAAGAGAGTCTGTTACGCGAGGGGAAGGTATTAGCACCCCACACGCCCGTAGCACTCTACGGTACCCACTCTTTTTATCTATCTTATTGGTGCATTTAATCTATGCTTACTGTTTATTACTGCTAAAGGGAGAATGCATGCAAAATAAAGAGAAAAGAATGCAAGGAAAATAAAGTTGTACTCGCTTGGGCCCTACCCCAATGCCTACGTATCCTTTTTGAGGAATCAGAGCTACCGTAGTTCGGCTCACATATTTTTGTTTGTTTTGTGATTTTATGGACAATGTTAATTTCGCCTTCTGCCGCAGCTCTACCTTTGGAGACTTACGTGTTGGCACAAAAGTAAATTAATCATGTCCTTACCTGAAAAGGGTTTTAGAGAAAAGGTGCTTGGATGCACAAAAAGGTTTGAGTTGGTGTGTATTTTGTTACCTTGAAAAAGGGTTTAAGTGTGATTAGTATGTTTTTGATTTGTTAAAAATAAAGTTTTAGTTTTAAATGCATATGCGAAAGGGGAAGAAAAGAGTCTAAGGGAGAATGGCCTATTTCTAATCCTAATTTTATCACATAATGGTAGCCCTACGTCAAGGATGAAAGGGGAAATTTCTACCTAATGTTAGCATGCATGGTTTACAACCTAAGGTCTAACTTACGTTCGAAGGGAGCAAGCACTTCCTAAGGGAACATGGTATGTACAAGGATAAAGCAAACAAGATAATAAGCTCAAGAGAGCACACCTAAAGAAATCCTATCTAGGTTAGCATCCTAAAGAAAGTCTAACAAAACCATCCTATAGGGAACATGCAATGAGAGCGAAGTTATGATCTCAATTTCTAAATTGAGTGACTCATCGATCAACAAGAAATAAAGGAAAGCGATAAAATCCTATAGGGAGCATGCACTGAGAGCGAAGTCTTGATCTCAGTTCCTAAATTGAGTGACTCATCGATCAACAACCAAGGAAACAAACACAAGCACAACACATATGGCAAATGAAGTGAGGAATGCCTGCTACAGGTCTTTAAACAGCGACTTCGAGTGCATGCTCTTTATTTCCTACTTCTCATGATATCTAGAAAGCAGTAAAGTACTGAATGAGATAAACAAAAGAAAATACCAAACAGATATCAATCTGTAGCAAAGCGTATCAAAACAAATAAACCCAACGATCTTCGCGAAAGCTTCACCAAACCAAGAAAAGAGTCAGAAATCAACGCTCGGAATAAGTATCGAAGCATCATCGATGTGAAAATAAATCACAATCGAAATCTCAAGCACATCCGCATATCGCACAATAAACCTGCATAAGACTCAAATCTCAACAAGCAAAGGTGAATTCACAAATCTCGAGTAACAAAATGATTATTAACATAATTGATAATAGAAAATTCTAAATAAGCTTCTACAAAAGAAATTCTACAAAAATCTTATATTCCATTATTTTATCGTTTTTTTATATTATTTTTATCATGTATTACATTGGCAAAAATTAACAAACAAAAAAGTCCAAATTCTAATGAAGAATTAGTAAACTCAGGGGGTGCTGATTTGAGTCCAGGGAGTATGGCTCAGCAAGTTTGGGCGCTGGCCTGTTAGCAAGGTCCAATGCAGTTTTTATTTTTTAGCAAAAGGCTTGCAAAAACAAGGGCAAAATGGACTTAGATGCATCCTTTTGGTCCAGCCCACCCATCAGAAAATTAATTAATGCAAAGAGAACAAAAAAACTTGGAACAATGCATTTAAGGGAGGGATTTAGACTCAACAGATTATGCTCTTTCACCTTACCATGAAAACGAGAGCTCAGCTCTTCTATGGCTACCGCGAATCAGAACGTTCACGCTCCTTCTCTTTCAATCGTCGCCGTGAATCCTCAGATTTCATCGTCTTCATCCCTCTCTGCTGCGAACCTTTTATTCTTCATCAATGACATCTCAGTTTTGCTCACAACTTGCTATACTTTTCCGTTTCCGACTAGTCAACACTTGTGCGTTAGTCTCAGTTTTTACTTCTTCTCTGATTCATCTTCGATTCGAATTTGCTTCGATTCTAACAGCTCTGACAGACATCGGAAGAACTTCCCGATGTCTCTTTAATACGACGCTGATGTCGCAAAATCCAGAGGTTCAGGTATGTATTCATATTTCACTCTTCTCTTGATGCATTCTTATTGACGGTGATGATGAATGAGGATGAATCATTGTCGTGGTTCAAGATTTAGAAAGTAGAAGCACGAAGATTTTCTGAGATGCTGTAATTCTTTTTCCCAAAAGAGATGAAGACGATGATAATTGAAGTTGTTGTTGCTATGTGAAGAGCATGCGATGCGTTGCGATGATGATTGAAGTAGCAGGTTCACGTTTGAAGATGATGATACAGAGATATCAAGATCACAGAACGGGAAGAATATAATAGAAGTTTTTTGGAGAATTGATTGAAGATGGTGAAGGAAATAGAGAGAGTTATCAGAGATTTTTCTCTGATTCTTCCAAGAGATTGAAGAATGGTGAATCTGAAGTAGAGAAAGTTGAGAGGATCTGGTGAGTTTTTTCTCTCCCCATTTTTGTTGAATAATCATCAATTGTGAATCCTCTCTTTCTTTTCTATTATCCTGCTATGGATTTTTTCTGGAAGTTTCCTGGTGCGGCCAGTTAGAATTTCTGTTTGGAAATTTTGTTTTGAAGTTGTAGGCAGTTCTGAAAGCTAGTTGGAGTTTTTTTTGTTAGAAGTTAGAGCGGTTAGGGAGTTATTAAATTGGTTATGCAGGGTTGGGAAGTGTTTAGAATTTGTGATGGTAATTCTGTGAATTTTTTTTTAAATAACCACTTTTTTCAAAAAAAAATTCCCAAATAATCACATTTTCAAAAATTTTACCAAAATGACCACTTTTCAAACAAAAACATTTCGCCACACAGAGGATGCGCCACTCTGTGTGGCGCATGCACTCAAATTAGAGAGGAGGCGCCACTATGTATGGCTTGTCCTCCTCTGTAAAGCCATGAAGTGTGGCACATGCATGTGTTTTTAAGAGGAGGCGCCACCCTCCTTGGCTTGACAGTGTAATTGCAATTTTCTATAAATACAACCACCCATCCTCTTTATTTTTCCACACCACTTGTTACATAACTCCTAGAAAATTTCTTCAACTCCCTTGCCAAAGTTTACACTGATCAAAAGAAATGCGCATGTTATTTTTTCAGCGACAAAACCTCTGGTGAAGATCAAATTCTAAAACACACAGACATTCGAGCATTTTCAGAGGCACTTGATTCGCTGGTTGGAGGAGACATTCCTGAAGGTGAACAAATCAGCAAAATAGAAAGGCACATCATAGTGAGGAATGAAAATGGAGTAAGCCGATCATGGAAAAAGGTGAGATGCGATGCTGATGTCATGATGATGATGCTTGAACCAGAGGATATTGTGCTGATGGTATTTATGTCTTAGATTTTATAATTTTTTTAGTTGTGTTGTACCCCAAAATTTACCCTCGTATTTTTCCACAAATCACAGCTTCGGGCTTTTCCTGATTTTTTTCAGATTGGCGTAAGAATCAGTCAAACAGAGTTTTCTTATCAGTCAGACAAAATTAGGGTTTTCTTTGATTTAAAAGCAGTTCAGGTAGATTGCTAAAGTTTGGTTGAGTTGGCTCAGGTTTTGATCAGGCGGACGCTTCTCTGACAATTAAAACAAAACTAGGGTTTTTGTGCGCGCATTCTCAAAAGAATTAATTTTACAGTTCTTTTCAGTTTACTCTGAGATTTGGACTGAAGCATTTGGATTGAGTTTGTAGTGTTTGACTAAATAAGTGAAAAGAGGCATATGGATGTTTGTTTGATTTGACTGTGCATTGCTGTGGCTATTTGAAACGCCAGGTTTATTAATTGATCGATGCTAAAACCACAGTGTTTATTAATTGTTTATTTATTCTAAGTTAGGATAATTGGAATTTATTTCCATTTATTTTAATTTAAGAATTTATAATTAATTAAATAGACAACTGAAAAAAGGAATTAACTGATCAAAAAGGATTTTTCTTTTATTCATCTTTAATTGTTTCGTTACAAATTATTATTCGAACAATTGTAAATTTATTTACATTTTTGTTTACAATAATAATTTTACAAATGATTAAAATTGAAATAAAGCTATCCTAATTCTTCATCCTCCATTTGCTGCTCTCCAATGCTCCATTGAGTTTTATCTGCAAAACAAAGAGAAGAAGAAAAGTCAACACAGGTAAAATAAATAAAAGAGCATACACAGTTAAAATTCATCATTAAAGGAAACTGGCCGGAATCAGTTTGCCCTCTCTGCAAATCACGAGATTTCTCCCGGTTCACAAAGAGGGATGAAAATAATGCTTGCAAATGAAGTATGAAATGCACAAAAGTTGCAAACTGCATATTTCAAAGTTTCAAAAACCAATGCCAAACAAAGTCCAAAGGCAAACCAAAATGAATGGCCTAAACCAAGTCAAAAGGGCAAACTGAATGAAACTGTCCAAGCTGCCAAAAGGATATCAAAACATCAACAAGTACAAAAGGTTACCCAAAAGCTGTCAAAGATGCAGGAAAGCTGGAAAAAGAGATAAAAGTATGCAGAGTAAAACAACTATTGCAAGCAAGCAATGCTCAAATCACATCATTTTCCTATGGCCAGCTACCTTTTCAGAATAAGGACAAATCTAAGCAATATTTTTATGCTTTAATCTGTACTGGAGAGAGAAAAAGAGAAGAAGAGAAGATAGGCTTACAGGGCTTAGGCTGAGAAAGATATAAGAAAAGATATACCAGCATATCAGAAAAAAAGGCAGAGATATCAAAAAGATAAAACCCTCAAAACTGTAAGATAGAAACAACAGAACTGTCTCCAACACAAAATCAAAAAGCTTCAAACCTTTCAAAACTTCCAAGCCTTAAACTTGATCCAAGCAGGCCTACTAGCAAAAAGGCCAAACCTGTGTTTCTAAACCGGAAAAGCTCAAATGCCCTCAAGCCTTACCTGCTGCAAATAAACCAGTTCAAAAGCTCATAAACTCAAAACTCCAACCAAAACACAAGCTCTGAACCTGCCTGCTAACCTGCAAAAGCCATACACCAAAAAAACCTGTGCATAAACCAGAAGCCTAACCAATAACGAAAGTAAAACTACACCAAATATGAAACCCAAAGCTTGAAGGCCAAAACCTGCCTGAACTGTCAAGCCTGTAAACACACTAAGCCTAAAATTTGCTTGAGCCTTAAACAAAATCACAAGCCTATCAAGCCAAAGCTTCGTGCCTGCATCAAAGCTTTCCAAAACCAGCTTCCAAACCAACACAAGCCCTCAGAGCATCCTCATCATTGGGCTACCAATATCATAAATATCTCAATACCAACAAACATACAGAACCAAACCAATACCCTCAGAAGAATTTCATCACAGGGTGATACATCAAACAACTCAAAACATCCAACCCAAACAATCAAACTCTGTAGCATATACACGTTTTCAAAACCAACATCAACATATCAACGGTAATCAAACATCTCAGACAAATCATCATTGAAGGCAACTGAAGCGAAGTTCACAAAGAGGAAAAGAAGTGTCAAAGATAGGCAACAGAAGCAAGCCAACAAGAAGAGGAGGAAAAGGCAACTCAAGCACAACATACCAAATATTCAAATCAATCTCAGCATATCAACATACAAGCAGCAGAGGCTAACAAGAGAAGGAGAAAATAAGCATCTCAGGGCACACAGGCAACTCAGAAGCCAACAAGAAGAAGAAGATAAAGAAGCATCTCAGATGAAAGCATATCAGCAATAAACAAATACACACAGGCAACTCAGAAGCCAACATAAGAAGAAGAAAAGAAGTGATATCAAACTAAGGTTCTCAAACATCATCATTGAACCAACAATCTAAAGGGAAAATACGAGTACCAGAACTTCCAAGCTAGCTCAGCACCACTACCTTCTCCGTCCGGCCACCCTAGGCGCCTCCTCCAGCTCTCTCCTCCATTTTCAAAAGACAACAAAGGTATAACTTTTCCACTTTTTTTCCTTCACACCTCACATAACAATGATAGCTTTCAGAGATTAGAATTTATCAAGGAGTAAAAAACGTGTACGAACTGGAAACCCTAAAAACATAAGAATTGAGATCATTACCTTGCAAACATCGCCGCCTGCGTGCCCATGGGGAATGGAGAGAGGGAACGACGCCTGGCAACGAGGAAGGAGGGGCGTCAGTAAGCCATGTCCGGTTTGAGAAGAATGGAGGAAACGAAGTGAAGACGAAGAAGATGAGCGCCGCTTCTGTATACACCAAACCCTAGAATCCTCTTTCTGAAACGAAATACAAAAACCCTTGCAAATGTTTTGTGAACCATTGGGCCTTGCCCTTTCTAGATGCTCAAGCCCAATCTCACAAAGCCAGCGCACCCCCCCTTTCTGATTATCACTTCAGACTTTGTTTGGGCTAAGCAAGTCCCTTAAGCCCATTCTTTTTCTTTTTCTTTTTTAACTAATACTTTCCATTTTCCTTTTTTTATCACATGACATTTTTACACAAATTATTTTTATTAAATAAACCAATTGTTCATATTAAATTTAATTGACATTACTCTTTTATTTTTCTTTTTATGATATCACTAAATGTTTGTACATAAAAAATATACATAAAACATTAATAACGTAAAACATTAATTCTTTCCTAAAAACATTTCTTTTTTAACTCTTATATATAAAACCTTAGCAAAGTATATAAAGAATAAACTTTTTAAAGTTAAATACTTTTCTTTAAACTTACAACTTTTACTTTCTTTCAATTAAAAACTTTTGTACATATTTAACAAAATACAAAAAAATAATAATAATACATCTCACTTGTAAATAAATCATACACATTTACAATACACATTTGATTATCTTTAAACATTGATACCTTTTACATTGCCTTTATGCTATACATTGATACATATTACATTTGAGATCGCAATTCGATTTGGTTGTAAATTATTGGACATTACTCTCCTATTTAAGTCTCATCCCCATTTATAAACATTTGTACCCCCACTCCCGGATACTTATTTGTAATAGCGTAGACTTTA